ATCACTTCACATTTCTCCACATTAAACTCCATCTGCCACGTGTCTGCCCGTGTTACCAGTCTGTCTCTAACCTCTTGCAGTCGGTTACTATCCCCCTCACTGTTTACTACTGTTTCCAGCTTAGTGTCACCTGCAAACTTGGAACTTGCACTCCTATACCCAAGTCCAGGTCATTTATATAGATCAAACCCAATACTGACCCCCGGGGGGACACCACTGCACACTTCCCTCCAGTCAGAAAAACAACCGCTCACCACCACTCTCTGCTTTCTGTCTCTCAGACAGTTCTGTATCCGCTGCCACTGTCCCTTTAATATCGGGGGCTTCGATTTTGCCACAAGTCTCTTATGTGGCACTTTATTAAACGCCTTTTGAAAATCCATATAAACTACATCACCTGCACTACCTTCATCCCCCTCTCCATTACTTCCATCAAAAAACTCTATCAGGTTTGTTAGACACAGTTTGCCTTTAACAAACCCATGTTGACTGTCCTTTATTAACCCATATTTTTCTAATCAAAAATTTATTTTGTCCCGGATTATACTGTCTAGAAGTTTCCCCACCACTGACGTTAGGCTGATCACCAAAAAAACAAATTGAATGGTTAGCAGAATTTTTTTATACACAAAGCGTTATTAGGTCATGGGATGCTCAACCAAAAATAGCAGCTAAAGCCAAATCTATAATAGTCTTTAAAAGAGAATTAGTCAAATGGTTGAAGAGAAAAAATATAATAGGTGTGTATGAGAGAGGAGAATAGGAGGGTGATGTTGAATATAAGTGAGACTTTCTCAGGACTCTACTCTTGACCCTCTCCTCTAATATTTACATGCTCCCACTTGGCAGTCATCTGCAGATATGACACGGAGTTAACTTCCACACTTCGATTGGGTAATAAGCCCTTTAAAAAAAAAAAATTTTTGTCACTTAATCCACAACTATTTGTGTGACACTGCTGTATGCAATAACAAATGCAAGGATTATTATTAATATCCATAGTGTTAACACATCCAAGCTCGACAACACCAAGTCTCTGCTTACCAGGTATCCCAACTCTTCGCTCCACAAGCTGCAAACCATTCAAAACTCTGCAGCTCATATCCTCACCTGCACGAGGCTCTGTGAGTCTATCACCCCTATTCTTGCCCAGCTCCATTGGCTCTCCATCCTCCAGAGGATCGAGTTCAAGACCCTCATTCTCACTTTTAAAGCCCTTCCCAGCATTGCTCCTCCGTCCCTCTGTGACCTTTAAAACTCTAGCAACCTGCCCACTTCCTGAGCCCAGCGGGCTCCGGCCTGCCTTACATCCCCCGCCCCGGCTGCCCCAACACCTCTCTGCCCCCACCCTTTGGAACTCCATCCCAAAATCCCTTCAATTCTTGGGCAAGAAACCTTGGGCAAGTTTCCTTCCTCCACAGACCTGATAACAATCTATCAAGAAAAAAATCAATAATAAATTGGTCATTTTCAATCCACTACTGTTTGTGGATGCTGCTGTGCGCAATTTACTGCTGAGCAACTTTCTCCAACTCAACATCAGCAAGACCGAGGCCCTCCTGAGTGACTCACGCCAACACCTCCGCACTTCAGGCGCTGGCAGCATCAGCCTCCACGGCTGCCACTCACCCTCACTAAGCCAGTCTGGAACCTACGTATCTTGTTTGACCCTGAACTATCCTTTCTCCCCCACATCCGCGCCATGACTGGCACTACCTACCACCACCTCCGCAACATTGCCAGACTCCACCACTGCCTCACCCCTCAGGCCCCCAAACCCTCACCCACACATTCGTCAACTCAAGGCTCGATTACGGGAACTCCCCCCTCATCGGCCTTCCCAACTCTTCCCTTCACAACTCTGCAGCTCATGTACTCTCACGCACCAGACTCCGCGACCCCATCACCCCCACCCTCGCCCGACCCCATCACTCCCACCCTCGCCCGACCCCATCACTCCCACCCTCGCCCGACCCCATCACTCCCACCCTCGCCCGACCCATCACCCCACCCTCGCCCGACCCCATCACTCCCACCCTCGCCCGACCCCATCACTCCCACCCTCGCCCGACCCCATCACTCCCACCCTCGCCCGACCCCATCACTCCCACCCTCGCCCGACCCCATCACTCCCGCCCTCACCCAACTCCACTGGCTCCCCATCCCCCAGAGGATCGAGTTAAAGATCCTCGTCCTCACCTTTAAGGCCATCCATGGCCTCGCCCTCTCCTACCTCTCTGACCTGCTGACTCCCTACCAACCTGCCCGCTCCTCCGTTCATCGGGCTCCGGCCTGCTCCATGCCTCCCGCCCAACCCGCCCTACCATCGGTGACCGGGCTTTCAGCCTCTCTGCCCCCACACTCTGGAACTCCCCCACGGTCCCTTGGCCTCGCTTCCTCCCTCGCCTCCTTCAAGGCCGGTCTCAAGACCCTTCTCTTCGACTGTGCCTTTGGTCTCCCTCCCACCTCTCTGCTTTCCCTCACCCCTACACCACCCCTCCCCCATGCTCAGGCCCCGACACCTGACTGTTCAGCTCTTTGGGACGTCCTCTCGACGTGAAAGGCGCTCTATAAATATAATTTTGTTGCTATTGTTGTTGTTGCTGTGTTTTGCCCACAAATATACAGTCCATTCACTTTACATTATATTCTGTGAAGCGCTTTGAGATGTCTAGAAGACGTGAAAAGCACTATATCAAATGCAAGGATTATTATTTATTATTGTATAACTCACTCCTTCCTTCGCCTCCTTCAATGCTCATCTCAAGACTTTTCTCTTTGACCATGCCTTCAGTAATCTCTCCCCCATCCCCTGTGGCCTCACCCCTCCTGCATCCAACCCCCAGCTCAGTGCAACCTTGACTGCCTAGAGCCTTGGATATTCTCATTCTCATGGACTTTATGGCTGTTATACAAGCAATCAGTTGTTGTTGGCAATAAACGGTAGCTCTTTCAGAGACTCAACAAAGATACGATGGGGCCAAATGGCCTCCTATGTTGTAATAGTCTATGATTCTAAGTCAAGGACAATCTCAAATCTGTGTGATCACAAGACTATGGTTTCCTAAAGATCAGACTGGACAAAAATATTGGACATTAACAAAATAAGATTTGTGGAGCCAAAACGCAAAATACTGCAGATGCTGGAAATCTGAAACACAAACAGAAGTCGCTGGGAACACTCAGCAGGTCAGGCAGCATCTATGGAGAAAGGAAAGTGAGTCAACGTTTCGGGCCCACGACCCTTCGTCAGAACTGGGGCACGTTGGGAGGGAGAACCTTTCAAGGGCTAACAGAGAAGGGGGAGTCAGGGCAAGGAAGACAAAGGAGAAAATGGGGTAGAGGACAGAGGATGATGGGTTAAAATAAACAAATTGAGATTTCCATGCATCCCAACTACAGATGGAAATCCCAGAGATAGATGGTTGGAATGGAATGTGCTCTCTCTCTCTCTCTCTCCCTGGAGGGACACATCCCGCTTACCTAATTCCGGAGAGTATTAGGCGCAGGTTGGCAAGAGCCAGGGTGTGTGTTGGGGTACTGCTGGAGTCTAACCAGCTAACGCTGCATAGTTTGCCATTGATATCACTGTCTGGTAAGCTTTTCCACTGCTTTCCAGCTAGGACCACCCTCCCCGTTAGGGCTTTGGCTGCAGGGTTAACAGGAGCTGAGGGGGAGGATTCCCTGCCCTCCTGCTAGGCAGAAGGGTGGCGAACATTCTGATAAAGGCAGATAATATGAAAATCCAAGTGAAACATCAACAGTAAAATTGCTGAGATCATCTCAGTAGCAATAGGTTTCATCAAAAGTGCAAATGGGAAAGAAAGATTTACAGATTGTACAGCACGGAAACAGGCTACTCGTCCCAACCAGTCTGTGCCAATGTTTATATGCCACACAGTCTCCACCCACTCCTTACTCCCTTTCATTCCGCTTCTATTAGTCTTCCCTGTCTCCTGATTCACGTGACCCCACCAGCTCACCAGCTCCTCAAACTCATTCAGACCAAGGATCCCTCTGCCTTACCCCCTCTTTCCCCATCTTCAGGTTGTGAAGACTGCGCCTACGGTCACCTCCCCCCGGCTCGACATCGTGCTCCTCTACTGTTAAGCGCTCTGAAAAGCTATCCTATATGAGGGGCGCTGTGTAAATGCAACTTGATGTTGTCTTTAAAGAAATCAACAGCTCCTCATCCCCATCAGTCTTCCCTTCTCACTCCAAAAGCCAAGCTCGGGTTCAGCTAACCACTATATCCTGATATATCAACTCTTCTTCATTTTCAGCTGTTTTTGCACCTTGTTAATCCTCTGGGTTCATCAATTGTATGTTAAAAAAAAATGCACCGTCCAACAAGGGCTTCAAGGGTAGCTCTTCACTAATGATCACACATCAGTTGTCATTGACAAGGACATGATGGTAAAACACAGCCCAGTCGGCTTTTGAAGTTGTCTACAAACACACGACCAAATGACCCTCAAGTGAAATTGGAAAACGACTGGGAGAGGAGAGGATTGAACTGAGCTCCCCCCTACCCCCTCGCAAAACACCAGCCAGTGAATGTGGAGGTGCTGACTGGGGTTCAAGTCCTGTTACAACTCTGGGTGGGATGTTATGGACCCCAAACTATTGTGTCATATTGGAGCTCTATTGTGCCTGGATAGATACTGTGATAGAAGAGAGGGAGACAGACAGACAGACAGAGAGAAAGACAAACAGACAAACACAGAGAGATAGACAGAGAGAGTGACAGAGAGAGATGGACAGAGACTGAAAGTTGGACAGAGAGAGATGGACAGATAGTGAGAGACTGATAAGGAGCAGAAGCAGATTCAAATGTCGGAGCAAATGTCAACCAACACTACAGTCTTTTGCAAGTAGCTCTGATGAATTTTTGTAACCAATCTAATGCATTGATGCCATTATGAGACAGTGAACACACGCACACGCATGCCATTTGGCATGGCATTAAGGAAGAAGGAATCAGTTCTAGCGCAGCATACCTTCAGGCGACTCCTCCTGCACATATGTTCCAGTCAGATAGCGATGCACCAGGGCAGACTTCCCACTGGACAGATTGCCCACAATACCCTGGGAAACAAAAACACAAAGTGAGAGTTTACTCAAAACAAGGATTCATCATTTCCTAAAATCCATTTCCCTTCAACCGAGGAAGAATCTGTCCACTGGAATGAGATGGGTTCGTCCCTTCCTCGGTCATGCAAGTGCTGCCCGCTGTCTCTGCTCGACTGGCTCCGGCCTCCTGCTTGTCCCTCGTGCCCTCTGTTCCACCATCGGTGGCCACACATTCAGCCACTACACCCCGAAACTCTGGAATACTCTCTCTCTATCTCTTCACCTTGTCCCTTCCTTCCCCATCTTCAGGTCATGTCTGAAGACCTTCTTCTTTCGATGTCCCAAAAGCTCTTCACAAGATACTCTGTGAAGTGCAGTAACTGTGCATTGTGGATTTTGACTGTGTTTTGTGGGTGAAAATTGGCAGCCAATTTGCACACAGCAATCTCCCAAAAACATGTCCTGGATGAGTTATTAGACAGAGGTCTGCCTGTTCAGATGGACGTTAAAGATCCCATGGCACTAGTCGAAAAGTGAGGGAGTTTCTGCTGGCCAACAATTCCCCAAATAAAATTGTTCACTCACTCCATGGCTATTTGTGGGACTCTGCTGTGGCCAGCTGGCTGCCACATTTCGCCCACAAATACACAGTCATTGTTATAAATCCACATTATAATATATTCTGTGAAGGACTTGGGAGACGTATCAATAACGTGATAAGGCGCTATATCAAATGCAAAGATTATTATTCTTTTAACAACAAAATTACATTTTGTAAAGCGTCTTTCATGTCAGGAGGATGTCCCAAGGCGCTGAACAGTCAGGGATCAGGACCCGAGCGTGGAGGGGCAGGTTTGGGATGAGGGAGGGTAGAGGGGGTAAGAGGGCGGCTGAAGGCACGGTCAAAAAGGCATGATCGAAAAGGAGGGTTTTGAGCCATGCCTTGAAGGAGGCAAGAGAGGGAATGAGGCAAGGGGATTGTGAGATGGCGTTCCAAAGAGTGGGGGTAGAGAGGCTGAAAGCGTGGCCGCAGATGGTAGGGCGGGAGACCTGGAGCAGGACAGAGTTTGCTGAGCAGAGGGAGCGGACAGGCTGATAGGGGGTCAGCAGATCAGAGACGTAGGAGGGTGCAAGGCTGAGGAGAGCCTTGAAAGTGAGGACGAGGATTATTATAACTAAGAAATGACCAATTTTATCTGGGGGATTATTGGCCAGGTCACCGGGAGAGGGAAACTCCCCTCTCTTATCCAATAGCATAATGGGATCCTTAACGTCCACCTGAACAGGTACATGGGACCTTGGTTTAATGTCTCATCCGAAAGACAGCACATCCAACAATGCAGCACACCTCAGGCACAACATTGAAGTGTCAATGATTTTGACATAAAAGGTCGACTTAGCTGAGGCGAGGGCAGAATGGTAGGTCTTGGTCAGTCCTGCCAGATCTGATGGTGAACCGTAAATTTGGATTTGCGCCAGGTGCATTCGGCGGAGGTCACCTGAGATTTGAAGGAGTGGAGGTGGCTAGTGTACCATGGGGAATTTGTGCAAGTAGGAGGTGGTGCGGAGATGACAAGGGTAAGAGTGTCGAGGATGGCCGAGAGGGAGTTGTTTAGAAGGGTAACCAAGCAGGGTTGGTCATTGCAGGAGGAGAGCCAGACATATAGAAGTTCAGATGCCTCCAGGGCAACGAAGAGGACATGGAGGGGGATTTTCCTCCAAGGTCGATAGGAGTTGCACGTGGGGTGGATGGCGGGGAGGGGGATGGAAGAGTTAAGAGAGATGAAATAGTGATCTGAAATGTCTTTGTCAGTGATGGTGACATCAGAGACGGTAAGGCCCTGGGTGATCACCAGTCTGGCAGGTGGCCAATGATGTGAGTGGCGGAACTGATGTGGAGGGAGAGGTTGTTAGAGAAGAGGGAGGAGAAGTCAGCAGATGTGGAGTAAGAAGGGTGAAGTGGAGGTAACGCCCACAAAATACACAGTCAATTCATTTTATAGCAGATTCTGTGAAGCGCTTTGAGATGTCTTCATCAATGTGAAAAGGCGCAGTAACAAATGGAAGGATTACTATTATACGTATCATTTTTCACACAGGATGAACATTTCAAATTCCTTTACAAAGACACTGGAATCACTGAGTAGGGAGGAAAGGAGATGTAATTGAAGAGTTGTGGGTAGATGAACGATAGGTACTACACAGTACATATACAAGAATAGGAAACACAAGTACTCCATGGATGGGATAGAACTTGCCAAGAGGAAAGCTGAAATATATCTAGGAGTATTAGCTGACATCGCTCCCTATGAAAAACAGTGTGAGGCTGTAATACACAAGGCAAACAGGCTGCTGGGCTGTGTTGCTAAATCAGTTGAGTACCGATCCCCAGTCATCACACCCAGGCAGGACAGTGTCTGGTCAGTGTTGCCCCACATTAAATACTGCACCAGCTCTGGTCACCGTAACATAAGAGGCCCTAGAGGCCGTGCAGAAGAGAGCAGTGAGGCTGATCCCAGTGTTAGAGACAGAGGAGAGCAGTGAGGCTAATCCCCAGGGTTAGAGGAACGAGCTACGAGCCACGATTAGACAAGCTCGGGCTCTTCAGCCTTGGGAGGAGATGCCACAGGGGGAACCTTATAGCGTTTATAACATTCTGAATGAGATTGACAATGTAAACTCAGACTGTACCTTCGGACGCACCAAAACATTAGAACAAGAGGACAGAGGTTTAGAGTAAATGGCACTTTCAGAACAGATACAGGAACAACAATTTGCATTTATAAAGAACTATCACACACGATAGCGTTCCAAAGGAAGAGAATGTAGTGTCTGTAAGTTTGCAAGTTCATTACTAGGGCTGTGAACAACACAGAACAAAGCCTGCACCACACCTGGGCTTGTCATTACATGTAGACAGAATACGCCTTCAGCAGCTTCCTCCCAAACCCAAGTGATCAACATATGAACAAGAGGGTGCCATTCAATCCATCAAACCTGCTCCACTAGTTTATTAGACCTTTTCGTCAGAACTTCTGAGTGTTGCTAGCAACTTTTGATTTTATTTCAGATTTCCAGCATCTGCAGTATTTTGCCTTTTGTTATATTGTAAAGTGGATTAACTGTATCTGTGGGCGAAACAGGGCAGTGAATTACGCACAGCAGTGAGCACAAACAGTCGTGGATTGAGTGTCCAATTCTTTTTAAGACAGAATAAGAAACAATTGGGATGTTTAAATGGATATTTGGGAAGTAAAGAGGAATAGAAAAGGGAAAATGGGGAGAGCTAGGTTCTCACAGCTGCCATCCTTCAGATGAGATTTTAAATCATCTGCGCCTGTTCAGGTAAAAGATACCACAATGCTATTAACAAAGAGAAGGGAGTTCCTTCATGGTGTCCTGGCTACCAATTCTCCAGAGAAATTAGACATTCACAGCCAAGCTGTATGTGAGATCTTGCTGTTTGCAAATCACTGCTGCGGATGCCTACAAGAACAATCAACAACAATAACTTGCATTTACATAGCGCCCTTCACATGGGGTACTGTCCCAGAGTGTTTGACAGTGCCGGGGTGGAGGGGGGGGGAGAGGGGGGAAGGTGACTGTAAGCGTGATCATAAAAGAAAGTCTTTAGGATTGATCTGAAATTGGATGTGAGGAGGCAAGGCACAGGGATTGAGGGAGAGTTCCAGAGTTTTGGGGCATAGCGGCTGAAAGCATGGCCACCAACGTGGAGTGGAGGGGCCGAGAAACAAACAGGAGGCCGAAGCCAACAGGTGATGGAGTGAGGCAATAAGCAGGTTGGAGAGGTAAGGAGATGCCTGTTCAGGTAAAAGATACCACAATCTATTGACAGTAATTACTGCCAAGCTCTATGAGATTTTTGAATGTGATAAACATGCCATAAAAATCCGCCAGGGTAGGGCAAGTATAGTGTGTATTCTACTATTCTTCTGCTACCTTGTTTTCCCTTCCTTCCCAGTCTCTGGCATGTAAGCCATGACCACCATCGCTCCTCTCCTCTGCCTGCACTGTCTCCCATAGCCCATGGGCTGATGTTGCCCCGCTGATCGCTCTCTCCCAGTCTCAACATGCGCTTTTTGGCTGCCGCCCCAACCCGAGCCTCAACCCCCTGAAAATGTTCCAGCTCCCACCCCCCACACTCCGCTACCCCCACTCTGTCCTTCTCTCCCACTGCCCTCTCCCCCTTCTCTTTCTCTCCTGGACCCCACCATTACCTCCCGCTGCTCCAGCCTGTGCATCCTCTACCAGGCCCATCGTGGTCCTGTCCTTGGTTGTCCCAGAGCAGCCACTCCAACTGTCACATCACTCACTCTCTCCGCAGCAACCACCTCCGAAAGACAAAACACCCCTTCCCCCTCCCTCATCCATACCTTCCCCAACACTGCCTGCTCCTCAAACTCCATGATCACTTCTCCCTCACAACCTCAAATCCTCTCTATACCACTCTCCACATCAGCGCCCTCCCACTAGCAAACTTATCCGCATTTCCTTCCAAAATGTCCGCTCCCTCTCCAACGAAGCCCCTACTATCCATGACCTCATCCTGCATGAGCACATTGATATTCTTGGGCTTACAGAAAACTGGCTCACCCTCGATGACTCTTCCCCCCTCGTTGAAGCCTCCCTTCCTGGCTGCACCTTTCACCTCATCCCCCGCCACAACCAACACAGCAGCAGGGTGGCTTTCATCATCCAAGCTTCCCTTGGTCTATCCCCATATTTCTTTGGCTGTTTCTCCTCCTTTGAGAACCTCACCCTCTACCATGCCCCCTCTCTCTCCCTCAAAATCCTCCTAATTTACCACCCCCAATCTCCTGGCTCCTTCCTCACCGATATCTCCTCTCATCCCTGTCCTTCTGCACTGAACAGCTGCTCGTAATGGGTGATTTCAACCTCCACCTAAACTCCCCGTGCACCACCGCCTCGGATTTCACTGCCCTCCTCTCCTCCCTAAACCTCACCCTCCACATCAACTCACCAATCCACAACCG